TTAGCTTTTTATTAACCTTAGATTATACTAGGTTTTTGCTGCTTTGAGCTTTTAGCCAGCCTTCTGTACATCTGGTTAGCCTTTTGTTACTTTTGTACTGTTACTTTTATTGTTTATTCTTAACATACTTTTAGCGTTCAGCTAGCATTCTGCTATTTTAAGAATTTGGTCAGCATTTTGTTAATTTTTAATCATAAGTTTGCTTTTTGCTACTTTGAGCTTTTAACTAGTCTTTTGCTACTTTTGGCTAACATTCTGCTACTTTTGGCTAGATTATTATTATTATTTAGCTATGTTATTCTTTTTATACGTTTAGCTTTCAGCTATTTCTGCTACTTTCAGCTTTTAGTTAGCATTTTGCCACTTTTAGCTTTTGAGCTTTTAGATAATGCTCTGCTTTTTTTAAGCTTTTTTAAATTCCATGAACATTGATGAAAATCTTTCCATTTTTAAACATTATTATCCAGTTTTAATGCTGTCTTCTTTCCTTCTATAATCAATCCTGTTTTCACATTTTGAATTTTATTCTCAGTTTAAGTTTGAGTTTGTTCATCACAGATATCTGCTCCACAACACGTCTGAGTCACGCTAGAGCTTCTCTAACAAATTCCAGCAAAGTCATGCAGCCCTCAGCACTCACTCAGCATTCTCACAGAAAATTGGATTTCTTTATTTAATGTGCGGTTATTATTATTTATTTGAGTTTATTGGTGAATTTGGATGTCTAATCTTGTTTTTGGCAGGAATGCATTCTGTCTGGGATCATGTCTGTGAATGGGAAGAAGGTTCTGCACATGGACAGGAACCCCTACTATGGTGGGGAGAGCTCGTCCATCACTCCCCTGGAGGAGGTATGAGGCTGCAGGGATGAATGAAAAAACAAATCAATATAATTTTATGTCCTTCAGTTCATCCCTCAATATGTCCAGTGCAATCAGCTGCAGCTGCTTTATTGCATCTGATTGCTGACAGCCTTCTCCATGATTGTGAGTCCCAAAGGTTTATGGTGAATTTTCTGTTTCCTGTTGTCTCCTGCAGCTCTACAAGCGTTTCAGTCTACCTGACAGTCCACCAGAGTCCATGGGCCGGGGCAGGGACTGGAACGTTGACCTCATCCCCAAGTTCCTCATGGCCAATGGTCTGGATCTGTCCACATGTGTAGAAAATAATGATCTTAATTGAAAGTTGTGGTAAACATTAAGGAGATAAGCTAAAAATGAGCACAAAAAGTCAAATGTTTACAGATGAAATTGTTTTGGTGGGTTTTTATCTGGAAGTACAAAGACAACTGGTGACCTGTTTTCAAGATGGCCACCACGACTAAGCAACCTTAGAAAACCCCAAAATGACTCAAACTCAGTCAGTTTTACAAATGTTGATCTAATATTTGATGTGGTAGTAGCTAATGGTCATCTCCGACTCATAATCCAAGTGCAATATCAGTTTTTAAAAATTTCTGTTTGATAGAAAATTGTCACATTGAATTTAATGAAACTTACAGAAGGTAATCCCTGGATGTACATCTACTACTAAATATTTTTTGGAGTCTGCATAATTTAGAATGGCTGCCACAGCCGACTGATTATTGGAAACCACCCGTTTTGGATGTTATCATCCATTAAATGGACGTTATTAGCTGTTATCAGTCCCATAGAATGGTTTCAGACTGTCAGCTGTTAATATGAGGCATAAAACCACTAAGGTTAGTTTTAGATAAAATGACATGGACTACGATAAAGTAGACCAGACTCTGGCAGTAGCAGATTCTTGCATTCCAACGTATATGGCACTGGTAACCCACTAGGAGGCACTGTCGGGACAGTCTGAAGCCATTCTATGGGACTGATAACTGCTAATAATGTCCATTTAATGGACTGATAACATCCGAACCGGCTGTTGGAAACCCTCAAAATGTTTCAAACTCAGCCATGTGGGCTGATATTGAGCTCAGTCTTGTAATAGTAGCAGACATTCACAACACATACTTTCAGTATTACACGTTAACTCTTGGTGTCAGTACTGTTTGTATGTTAGCAAAGTATTCCATGAAACACTGGATTTAAATAGAATTTTCAGAATGTAACCATTGGATTTATGTTTAATACAAATTAACTTTTGTTGTCACTTGAATTCAAGATGGCAGTTCACTGACATCAGCTGAACAAAAACAGTGCAACTCAGTTTTTTACAGAAGCTGAGAGCGGTCATTTTCAGCAGATAATTTTTTTCCATGGTTTTATCGTGAAGTCGTTTTCTCGAGATAAAGAGTTATGATTTTCTGTGCATCGTTCAGTAACCATGGAGATGGCCTGATCCCCTCTGCTGGTAAGGGATAAAGTTTATTGTATCAGCAGGATGACTGTGTAAACACCTGCTGAGCTACAGTCGGGCCAGCCGTCTCCTTAAATGATGAGGGCTGACATGAAAGTTATCTGTATAAGACAAACAAATCACAATTTCAGTCTGTGTAATGATACAAAAATGACACAAAATTATGAACAGTTAATAGGTTGCCTTCAGGAGAAGGACACCCTTTCAAAAGAGATCTGAGATGTCAATGGGATTTGCCTGGTTAAATAAAGGTTAAT